CGTCGCCAAATGTTTTTAAATTTTGTGTTTGTATTTGTTTACACTGTCATCAGAGGTCGAGCAGTCCGAACTAGTTTAGACAAGAAAATCGATGCCGAAGAGTTTCTATTTCTATCTCATGGAGAAACTATTTCTTCATGAGAAATCGTGTATACGCATATCTTTGTATTAACGTAATGAATTGAATAAAGAAATCACACTCGTATACCCATACTTTTAGGTCTGATTACGGAGTTCGAACGCCACCACCTTAGCTTTCTGTGAAGAACGAAATCTGGGAATAAAGGACAGTCACGTGATTAAACTGACGGTGAACGAATGGAGGGAATGGATTACTCTTCTTAGTTGCTAGCCTTCACTCATTGCAGTCACTTTCATTTTTCTTTCTTTTTTCCTTTTTTTATGTTTTTGTTTTGTTTTGTTTCTATTTTCCGAACTGATACCAGTTTATTTTTGTTTAATTTAATTTTTTAAAATTTTATTTTACATATTTTTCGCGTAATTATGACAATTATTCGACGTTCCGGGATGCTCCGGGATGTTCCGGAATGTTCCATGTTCCAGATTTTATCGACGGCCATTTATAATATGATAGTCAGGTTCCACTTCGGCAAACATGCTTACTTGGCAATTTAACGAGTACCCACGCGGTTACTTAAAATCTGTTAGCACACACCGTTTATTTTCTGCCTTAAATAGATTACGTAAACATAATAAAGAACAAAACTTCATTCAGACAGCGATGGACGGCAACTGTTGTTGTGGAAAATGAAACACGCTCAATAAATTCATTCAATTTCGGGCACACCGAGCAACCACCGGCGACAAATGACCCGACAAACGACTGATCGTCTGTCGTGTTTTTGTCGAAAATAAAACTATGCATGCGGTCAGCTTTTCATTCATTAAAGCAGCATGAAAACCATAATCTTATACCTACCTACACATGTAAAATAAACGCCGAGAAGTATCCAAAGCTTCAAACAAAGAGAATAATCCATCGAAGTGTTAAGTAACTATCTCGAGCGAGCGACTGGTGCGTGACATTCCCACGGGAACTGCGCTACAAGAAGACAGTCGCGTGACAATTACACTACTGTAACTTAAAAGTTATTCACGAGAAGTACAAATGTATGCGAAGGAAAACATTTTTTGATGCCGAAAGATTAAAATGGGGAAAAATCGTTGGACATGTTCATTTGTTTGTCTAGTGGCCGTCTAAGTGATGGTAGTTCTGACAAGAATTAACTGTTTGGTTTCGACAGCATAGGCCGGAAGTCATCCTCAGAGTCAAGTGAATACACCAGACGATGATGGTACAAGTCTGGCCATTGGAATTAAATTCAAATCAACCCATTTATTAAACGACCAGCACGACAAATACATGTCAAATTTTTCAGTTTGTGGGGCCGTGTACAAACTAAGTGTTTTACATATTCATGATAAACAAATCGGACTCCCGCTGCGCTTTCGTCCGATTTTGTTATCACTCGTTTGATCACAGACGGAATTGGACTCCACTCAGTCCTATTACCATTACTTATTACATCCATTTTGAAATCACTGGTTATCCTTGCAACCTGATTGGCTCTCAGCGGGGCGATTTATTTACGAATCGCTCTATTTTTTGCTCTAAATCGCATTTTTTTTTTTTTTTTTTTTTTTTTTTTTTTTTTTT